GCCAGACTCTTTCCTGGGGCTTCCGCACCTGTCAAGCCTATCCCGTCCAGTAGGTCTGGGTTAGAGAAAGTTCTGCCAGACTCTTTCTCTGAGCTTCTGAGGCACCAACGCCAGCTCCCAGGTTCTAAATGACCCCACCCCTTCCTCCCCTTTGGTGCCCCCACCCCAGGAGTGCTAGCTATTTCTTGCAGTTCCTATCTTGCTGTTATCTCATTATTACTCTTTTGACTTTTCGGTTCCTTGGACACCAATTCCTTATCATAAGTTCTTAATCAACAAAAGCTGATCTGATTTCTGTCTTCCTGACTGGACCCTGACTGATACCAGCCAACTCCCAGGAAATAGACTCTCAAGGTGGAATTCAGATCATGGCCTGTCCTTGAACACAGCCCTGATCCCTGGTGCCACCGTGATGAGTCAGGTCATCACCTGTGATTGATTACAATCAAGTACCTACTGAAGCAAGTGGCTTTGGGGACCCAGTGGCTACTGTGTTTAACCACTGTGACTGTAAGGATATGGAACAGGATGGCTATTTCTGAGTGCGCTGGATGATTACAGGAAGAAAACGATCAGCTCAAGTCACAGAGAACTTCAAAGGCAGTCTAAAAGAATCTCCCAATTCTTATAGCTGCTGTTCTACAGGATGTATCATTACAAGTGGAATTCGTGCCGTTGCTAAGTCTCTACTGTGAGAATTAGAGCATTGATGGGAAAGGAGACCCTGAGATTTGGCATAAGGACATGTGTGTGGAATCAAACAAAACAGAAACTCTGTACTTTCTAGTTCAAGCTTCTACGTTCCAGTATCTCCAATCTTTGCCCTGTATTCTCCTGCCCTAAGGGAGAGAACTACTTCCTGTACTATATAACTTAGGGGTCTTGTTTTGTTTTTTCACTTCTCTAGTAGATGTTAAACAACTCCCTAACATTAAAATCTCTTCGGTAAAACAAACAAACAAAAAATGGTCTGGTTTCTGTTTTTCTGACTGGATCCTAATGGATGCATAGCCTCACAGGGTTATTTTGAGGATGAGATAAAGTGTAACACACAGCTCAGTATATCATATGTGGAGGGCACTCAGTAGGTAGTAATATTTTCCTGCTGATCACAACTCCTCTCTGATCAATTATACTGTTTTGAGTTGGATAGGTCATACTGCTCTCTGAAATTATAAGTATATTTTTTTCTAAAATATGGAGTACTCATATGTGTTGGGGTAGAGGGAGATGAGAGAGAACATCAACCTTATGAAGAAATCATTATTCTCATCCTACTTACCTCTCACAGGAGTTCATAAATACTGAAGTCACATTCTGGTGCTAATGATTAAGGCCTTTTGCTCACCATTGGTAAGTCAAAAAAACACTTTCTGAAAGAAAACATACTTATTTTCTGTTATAGAGTGTTCCTTGGACAATACCTAAATGAGGCATGAGACCTCTGGCATCATTAAGGATTGTTCAGGTTCATAGCAACTGATGGGACTAACAAACTGTGTTAACCCCAAGTAAGATATGCTAAGATTGAAGGGCCATTCTAAAGGATAGAGTAATCATTGCACTGAAGACAGAAAAGAAACTCCTGCAAACCACATGCTTAGCACCTCTTTACTCCTCTGATATATATCTATGAACACCCAGGGTCCAGGACTCATCAATATAGCCCACTTTCAGCAATTTGGCATTGTTTGTGAGAGAAAGTAAAGTGCGCCTATGATTTCTCCCACTTAATGTCCTGCTGTTTCTTTTCCATGGCAATCATAATCAATGTGCAGTTCAGCCTAGGACAGATACGTGTTCACACACATACTATTTATGCAAACACATACATATACTGGGTTATATTGGGTTGTTGGAAAAGTCATGACACATGTTTGCAAAAGATGGCACTAGTTCATTTTTGGAAGTACTAGAGTCATTCGCATCTATGTTATTGCTATGCCATTTGTCAGCTGACAGTTCTAGCTTCATTCTAAATTGAACGATTTGGTTGAGTTTTGGAGATTTTACAGCAAGTTGAATATGGAAGACCAAACTGTGCATTTTTGCCATATTTTACTGTTTTACTTCCATAAAGGGAAGAATTTGCATCAAGCTTGTGAAAAGTTGCATAAAGTTTATGGTGACAATGCTCTACAAGAATGTCAGTGCCAACGATGGTTCACGAAATTCCGTGCTGGTCATTTGGATCTCAACGACGTCCCTCGGTCAGGGACATCCATCGAGGTTGATGACAACAAAATAAAGGCATTGATCCAGTCAAACCCACATTACATGACACGAGAGATTGCAGAAACATTGAACATCCATCATTCAAGCATTCACAACCACCTGAAGAAGCTGGGATACATAAGCGAGCTTGATATTTGGGTTCCACATGAACTCAAACAAGTTCATTTGATGGCGTGTATAAATATCTGCAATATGCTCATTAAATGTGAAGAAAACGATCTTTTTTTAAAGCAACTGATAAATGGTGATGAGAAGTGGATTGTCTACAACAATGTGGTGCGCAAACAGTCTTGGTCCCAACGTGATGATTTGCCTCAAACGACATCGAAAGCAGACATTCATCAGAGGAAGGTTATGTTCTCAGTGTGGTGGGATTTTAAAGGTGTTGTGTTTTTTCAGCTCCTACCAAGGAACCAAGCAATCAATTTGAATGTGTACTGTCAGCAATTGGACAGTTTGAACAAATCCATCATCCAGAATAGTCCAGAGCTTGTTAATTAAAGGAGTTGTGTTCCATCGCAACAACACGAGACCACACACAAGTTTGATCACCCATCAAAAATTATTGGAGCTTGGATTGGATGTATTGTCACACCCACCATACTTGCCTGACCTTGTGCCATCAGACTCCCACTTGTTTTTCTCTCTTCAAAGCTCCTTGCGTGGTATAACATTCAATTCAGGTGAGGCTGTAAATCAGCACCTTGTTCAGTTTTTCACAAATGCAGGTCCTTCTATGAATGAGGATTAAGCTCACTGAAAGATGGCAAAAGATTATCGAACAAAATGGGCAATATATCATTGATTGATCTTTGTTTTCTTTATAAATAAATGACCTTTGAAAAACAGACAAAATACGTCATGCCTTTCCGACAACCCAATATGTACACACACACATACACAGATAGCCTTTTCTCACAAAATAAATTATAATATGCTTTTTAAAGATACAACTTGCATAGGGAAATTTTCTATAAAAATGGCTGCAATTTAGCATTTTTAAAATCCTGATCCAAGGATATTAATTTTTTAAATAGAGCAGAGGTCTCTATCTGTATTTTTCATTCTATGCCTCTAAATTCCACTTAGGATTTTAAAGTACTCAAGTTAAAATAATTTTTATTCATCTGGTTAGATTTTTTTCTAACCAGGGAGTAATGAAAGGAGCTGGTATATGTACCTAGCAGAGTTTCTATTAAATCAAGATGGTAGTACTGAAGAATAAAGACTACATAGCTATATAACAGGTATTTTATACTATACAACTTCTAGATTTATATATCATTTCATCACTAGTTGTGTGAAATGGCAATATTATTTAGGCACTACTGTGCATAGATTAAATCAAGTTGCCATAGTGACTTCAAAGTTACTTTCATATACAGTAAAACCTTGGATTGCAAGTAATGTGGTTTGTGAGTGTTCCACAAGACAAGTAAACATTTCTAATACATTTTAACGTGGTAAACAAGCGATGTCTTGCAATATGAGTAGTTTGTTTCCAGAATGAATTATGCTTGCAAACCAAGGTATTACTGTATATGTTTTATTTTTTTTCAAAAGACTTAGTTCAGTTTTAAGTTTTAATAATTTCAGAAGCATAAATGCTACAAATGTACATACAAGTTTCAAAATAAACTTTATTTGGAAATTTAATTATTTACATTTATTTTATATTTATGTAGTTTTGTTATTTTGAGTACTAAACTTTTAATTTCTTATTCTCTTTGTTTTAAGATGGCAAATACTGGCTAAAACAAGAAATTAACTCTTTTGGGACTACTTGTATTTTCACTTTATGCTTATTGAAATGTTTTTTGTTTTTTTTTTAAAGATTTTTATTGGGGAGTTGGGGGATGGGACAGCGCTAGGGAATTGGGAGAAGGGGAACAGACAAATTGCCATCCTTTTTGTTCTTCAGTCTAGTTGTGGAGGACGTTGCTTCACTGGCCCAAGTTGGCACCATCATTGCGCTCTTCTTGGGCGAAGCAGATCAGTCGCCGGCTTCGGTCGGCCGCTCACAGCAGCTGCTGGCTGCTCACGCCGGCTGCTGGCTACACACAGTAGCCCATGGCAACCCACTGCAGCAGGGGCTGCAGCCTACGCCGTTGCCGGCGATCCATGGCAGCCTAGCCCCAGGTCGAGCTGTTGTTCAGCATCTTAGCTGTAGAGGGCAGTGTCACTGGCCCTCACATGTGGGATCCGAACCGGGGCCCTCTGGC